GGTTTTATTAGTTGTTATGTTATAAAATAGAAGTAAACAAAAGGAAATAGCAATTGCTGCTTTTCTTTGATTACTTATTTATGTTTAGTCATATGATCAAGTCAGTTGGAGTGCAATCTTATTAGTTGTTACATCATAAGATAGTAGTAAACAAAAGGAAATAGCAATTGGTACTTTGCTTTGTCAAGTCATTTGGATAAGAATCGACTGTTTTGGGTTGAATTGTATTCATTTCACATCACAAGGCTTGCAACTCTGGACGTGTCCTAGGGTTATGAATATTGTATTTTTAAATTTATACCCGAAATCTTGCTATTTCTTATACCCAAAACAACTTGGGATAAAATACCTCTCGCTAGGAAATATGCTCGGTGCATAACACACACACACGCTACATTTACGACCGTTGGATTAAACTTTTAATGGCCGTGGATGACAAAGGCAAATGGAAGCAAATCATACGACAAACCATAACAATGGGTAATCTGGCAATATATTAAAGCTAATCTTTCAACAACAAAAGAAAAAGGATCTAAAAACATTGCTGGGCTGTTGTTCAATCTAAAAACTTTTTAGTGATAATCATCAGTTGATTCTAATGTGTATGAGTTCGGTTATTCTATTTAAACCGGTATGTCATACGAAAAAAAATCCAAGATACTACTTAATTAGTCCCTTTGCTTCTCAAATTACGTGCATATATATTTTAGAGCAACCATATGAAGGAGCTTCATGGGTTTCCTTTGACCCATACAAAGAGAAATGAAGATGTAGAAATAAAAGGAAATAATTAAACATAGAGCTTTGCTACATGCACCCAAAATATGAGACTAATAGGGGGGACAAGTGAGGTGTCCCCCTCTTATTGGATAATGAGTTGGTCATCATTAATGATGACCAACTCATTATCCAATAGGTGGGGGACACTTCACTTGTCCCCTCTATTGGTCCCATATTTTGGGTACTTGATGATTTTTTCTTAAACATAATCGACTAATTGTATTCTAGTATATTTGGTCCCATAATCGACTAATTGTATTCTAGTATATTTGGATTGTTTTAAAATTCTCTGATTTGCCCCTCCATGAATAAACTGTCATAACTATTTCCCAAAGATGCCTTCTTAATTATGGTCATTGAGATTTTGATCCTATGGTTAAAAAACTGTTCTTTTTCCTTCTAAGAGGAGAATAGTCCAACTCTCACACACACGCTGTAGGAATTTGATACCAAACACAAATTTTATGCTCTCATTCACATCCACTTTTTAACTCATGTGAATGTTGTCTTCATTAAAATAAGTGGATGAAAATAAGCCACCTTATTACCAAGCACAAAAAGTTATGTTTGGTATCAAGTTCCTCCATATTACTCAAGAAATGAGGCCCTAGCCGCTACGGTTACCATTACCCCAAAAAAATTGATTACGAATTCATGGAGTACACCAGTCCTAGAGTGTACTCCTATATTTCTTAATATGTAATAAAATATTTGGCTAGCGAGGAGTAAATTTAAAAATACAAAAGATTAGGGGGAGTAAAAATATTGTCAGAACACCTCTATAGAATGGGTTGACCCAATGAAAGATAAGACAGAACATTTATGAAGGATTATTGTTTGACTTTACCAATATTTTGTTCGTTTTTATGAAAAAGAGAAGTTCATGGACTAATATGAAAATGATAATGAAAAATAATATATGTTGAGATCTTTGTGATTATTTTATAAATACGTTTTTATAGTTTTAGAGCTTATACAATAAAGTTACTAATTAATGTGTATATTATATATGTGCCCCTATATTGGGGGGATTCTAGAACCGTCTTCGGATGGTTGGTTCGGAAATTTTATTTGTTCTTGTTTAAACGCCACGACCCCGCCACCCGTATAGGGCTGTTCCAATAGGATTCCTATTCATTTTTTATTAGTGGTGTTGGGGTGGGGGTGGTTGTAGGCATTGAAAATTGCCTATAGGTCTCAACGAACCGCTCAGCGTTAAGAAAAGACGATGAATGTCACTATCTAGTTCACAGAAGCTTGATTGATGTCGGTGAACGCTTAAAGTGAATCGACGAACTACGTAAAATAACGGAATTTCAGAATAACGAAGACACAAACTGATCGGGAACCTCGTGTCGTTCACAAACGGCGAAATACCCTTCGTGTCTTATTTATTCCACAGATGATCTAATCATTGGAGCTTATAGAACTCCTCGTTGGCTTTCCAATGCACTTTGAATCGCTCAAATCCGAGTTCGGATGAAGAAGTTACGGCGAAAACGAACAAACGTGCATAACGGAGCGTCTCAGTCTGAGTTGAGACACCCCGGGGTGTCTCGGCACGAGCGAGACACCCAAGGGTGTCTCGGCCCAAGTTGAGACACCCAAGGGTGTCTCCAGCCCGAATTCCCCCCGTGCTTATAAATACAAGCCTCAGAGCCACATTTTTTCAGATCTGGAATTTTGGAGAATTGGCGAAGCCCTGCCGGACCGAAGATTGATCGAGTTCTTCAACGTAAGAGAGAGAAATTCTTCAGATCTGCATCACCCGCATCCTTTCCTTAGGATTATCCCGTTGCGATAATCCTAAGAAGAGCAATTATCTCGCCGTTTCCGAGATAAGCGCTTCTGCTTCTAGATTCCTTCGCGGATCGACGGAGTTCCGGATCTGATCTGATTGTCAGGTAGTCCACAGACATCGACGTCCCCGTCACCGGCTAAAGACCCACACAAGCAAGAAACGACGAACGGATCTTGTGTTATTTTCGAAAAGTTGTAATCTTTTATTTTTCATTCCTTTTATTGAACATTTTGAATTCTTTGTAAACAATCCATATTATAATGAATTCAACAATGAAGGCAACTTTCTCTGAAAACAAACTGACGACCACAGTGGGAGACAACAGCCTCGTTGCCGAGGCTGTCGTGACGTAGCCGACATTCAAGATCCGGGTGAATGAAGAGATCGAATATGAGTTCGATCAACAAAAGTTTGAAGAGTACCTCTCTTCCTCCTCCCCCAGATCCGCCTCTCCAAGCAGGCGCAGCAAGGTCTCTTCTTCCAAAAACACTCGTGGGATTTCAGGCTTGAAGGTCAAGGATCCCCTCGCCGCCGCTGCACCCGTGCCCCGCGACGTCCCTCCGGCATCCAAAGAGGTCGAAGCTGTAGATCCAGACTCCTCCTCCGCCGTGAAGATAATTGCTGAAGCCGCTCCGACTTTGTAGAAGAGGGCGCGCCAAAGACGGCGTCAACGCCTTGCACGACAATTAGCCAAAGCTTCGGAGTCGATGGACGAGATCCGCTATAATGAGGATCTGAAATCAAGGCAGCGCCAAGAACAGCAACGGTGAACCGCCAGCCTCTCCTTTAAGGCGGAGACGAACGAATGGGTTCGCGTCAAGAAGACTCGCTCCACTCTCGAAGAGCGAATCAAGAAACGCCACGCATTGCTCGCGCATGCCCGAGTCCTTCTGCAGAAAGCGGAAGAGATGTAAAAGAAGAGACGGTCAAGAAGCCGCCTAGACACAAGCAAGTGTGGGTACCGAAGACAAAACCAGCACCTAAGACAAAAGTGGACGGAGTTACTGTCCAGCCTTCTTCAAATCCAGATCCCGTTTCCCCTGTCCCCGCACCTCCGACGGAGCCGGGTAAGAACGTGGGTCCTACAAGATCCAGAGTTCCTTTGAAAGGTCGCCTCGGTCCTTTACCGGAAGATCGAGGTAAAGCACCCGTGAAGGAGCGATTGGGACCATTGAAAGGTCCCCAAAAAACAATCCAGACTGGGGGTCGTACCAATCCCCCTAAGAAAGATAATAAAGAGAAAACCCCTGTTACCGACCGCATTGGATTGCGGGTTAAAGTTCAAGAGCCCGTTAGGTTTTCACGCTCACAAAAATGTAAACCTGAACGAGTGACTTTTGGAGACGCCAATAAAGCGTCGTATCTCCAGAGGGAAACACATTTGTCTGATGATGATGATGTTATACCTGGGAAGTCGTGCCAACACTCTATGGGTTGCTCTAGTTATCAAACTGACGAGTTGTACTATAGGGCCGGGGGTACAAATAAGTCTCGAAAAAGAAACGTTCGAGACACGGATTCTCGTTGTCCGTGTGCCAACATAATCAAGGCAGTACTATCAGAATGCTGCTGTTCTAAGGCCCCACGAAGAGTTTCTGTGTTTGAGAGAATCTCCACCAGAACATCCGAGGCCAGACCAAGACACTTCCGTAGAAGGAAACCTACTCTTCAGGAGGATGAATTTCCAGAAGTCTCCGTCAATATGACCGGGAGAGGGAAGTCAACGCGACACTTTAGTTCGGATCAGTTTACTGAGGTATCCTAACGTATTACTCGATTGCGATCGGGGACCAATAGACGAAAGGATTACCAGAGAATGCAGAAGGGACTCCCTTCAGATGATGAAACTTCGGATGTTTGCTCGGATGCTTGCTCAGATGCATGCTCAGCGATGGCTTCCGATGACACCGCATCAAGTGCAGGACAGCCTTACGAGTCACTTATGATTAGCGCCGAACAGATGGCTAAAATACTTGAGGATGCCCTGACTAAGCAAAAAGACAGTTTACTTATGATTAGCGCCGAACAGATGGCTAAAATACTTGAGGATGCCCTGACTAAGCAAAAAGACAGTTTCAAATTTGAAATGGAATTGGCCATGCAGCAGATGAGAGAAATGCACGACCAGCAAATCGCGGCACTAACAACTCATCAAGGAGAGTCTAGTCGTCGCAATAATCCGAACCAAGATGATAATGAACGGGAAGTGGAGAATAATGCCAACATGAACACCCCTCCCGTTAACAACAATAAGGAAGTGGCCCCTCG